ATGTGAAACTGTCTATGTATCATCTCACGACAGCATAAACCGGCAAATCTACTTATTCATTTCGAGGAAAGCAAGATTTTATTGAAAGAAATCGAAAGGTCCTGCCTTATTTGACCAATCATTTTTCTGTTTCGCAGCGATTATTGAGGAATTGTTGATTGGAGGCACTTTGGAATCGGACATCATTGCATACACCCACTGCCGCCACCATTCCGATGAAACGACGTTCCATTCGGCGAAGCAGCTCAGTAATATACGTTGTTTGAATCCACTTAAACGAAAATCTTAAGAAAAAAAAGTTGAAAAAAGCTCGACTGATTTTTCAAGAACTTTTTGGACAGGAAAAATACGAAAATATTGCCTATGAAGTTCTCGAAGTTTAATGAAAAGAGGGGAAAAGCAATGCAGTAATATACCTAACCACTGTGAGTTCAACTTCTGCTGAATTTGGATGCAATCCCAAACAAATGTGCCCGAGCTGAAACTTTCGATTTTATATTCATCACCACAGCAAATTGGAAGTTCTTGAAGGAGTGTACAAAATGAATAAATGGGAAAAATAGCAGTGAGGAGAATGTCACAAATTCTTTTTTCGCCGGAGCAGGCACAAAAACGTTTCTGCATAAGGAAAATGTAAAACAGCCGAGTTAATAGGTGCAAAGTTAAGTTGGCAAGACGTAAAACTTGACCAAAGTGACAGAATTTATGGCCAAGCTGTAAAATCCAGTCAGGCAGGCGCAAAATCTAGTTAAAGACGGACAGTAGGGAAGATGTGACTGTAAGAGTGATACAATAATTGGCCAGTGAAGGGACTGCCTGTGCGAAAATTTACGTTTTCTGCATAGTTCCCCACATGTTTTTGTCGCTAAGAGCACTTTTCCAAGCAGTTGATTCTAGCTGAAAGAATTGAGGATGATCACTACGACTGTGAGAAAACATTCCGTTAAAATTTCAGCTTTCCAGCTCTTGTTTTTTCGGCCCCGAGTTAGCAACTTACCTGCAAAAAATTTCACGGGTTCGTACATACGAACCGCATATACCTAGCGGTTGGGTTTAACCCTTTAATTCCTACGCGTGCAATGAACATCTTAAAATCCCAGCCTTCTAGCTTTTCAGATTCCCGAGTTATCAACTTACCCGCAAAAAATTTTCACGGGCAGAACCACGCACGCCTGGCAGCTGGGTTTGAACACATCAAGACCTACGCGAACGGGAACATCCCCTTAAAATTTCAGGTTTGCAGCTTCTTTGATTTCCGAGTTAGCAACTTACGCGCAAAAAATTTTAACGGGGCCACACGTATGAACCATGCGTACCCGAGGCTGGGTTTGAACTAGTTAATCTCTACCTGACAGGGTATATCTCCTTAAAATCCCAGCCTTTTAGCTTTTTAATCTCCCAAGCTAGCAAATTACCTGCAAAAAACTTTCGTGGGTCCGCACGTAGGAATCACGCACAACTGAAGGCTGAATTTTAACTCATTAAGTCTGGCGTGGGCGGGGAACATCCCTTAAAATTACAGCTTTCAAGCTTTTCTTGTTCCCGAGTTAGCAGCTTACCCGCAGAATACTTTGAAAGGTCCGTGCGTGGGAACCATGTGAGTAGGAGCGCCCATTATGGGGACGGGAGTCTGCAAATGCATGTAGATTAAGATCCCAAAGTTTCAGCCTTGTAGCTTTTGTAGGTCTCGAGATGAAAAATCAGTACAGACGAACAAACAGACACCCCTCGACAATATGCGTTTTTGCATGGCACAGATGCGAAAAACGCACAATAAACCAGAAAGAAGTTCCAGCAAACAGCGAAAAGAACAGCCACAATTTAGCGTTAAAACGCCCAGCCGTGTTATAAATTAATCAAATAGGTGGAAAAACGATAAAAGATGCCTCACTAGTTACAGTGTGTTAAAAGAGGGATTGAAGCAGGAGATTTCTAACGAAAACTCTTAAGCCAACGACCGATGTAAAATATTTAGCAAACCTGGACAACTACTTCAAGAAGTTCGTCGACGCGTTTATTTTCATTTGCCCAACATACAAAATCCATCAGAGATGCACGACCGAAACCATCCGTGCGCATGTTTCGAGCCGAGTCTTCCTTAAAATCAGAAGGGAAAAAGCGGGCATGAAATTTGTTAGGAATATCCAACGTAAAAGAACGCACAAGAAATGAGGGAAAGGCGTACAATATTCAAATGTGCATACACGTTCTGGACATCTTCTTTTGATAAATAACCATCGCTGTCCGAGTCGAACATCTGAGCAATAACTGAAACAACAGCAAAACACATCTCAGGTCTCTCGTCTCATCCTCTCATTTATCGTACAAAATCTTATCTGCGCTAAAATATGTCAATTAATTGAAAAAGAAATCAATTCGCAACACGGCTCCCGGACACTCCCGTGGCTGAAATTTTAAACGACGCAAGCTTTTACATTACTTTAGCAGCCTCCTCCTGATGATGATGATGATAGC